ACGTTAACCAGATTTCCCCCCTTTTCCCACATGCAGCACACCGGATCACGCAGCCTGCTTCAAAAACACTGTTTAGTTTAGGAGATCCCGCTGCCTGAACAGACGCACATCCCGTCTAGCTGCTGTAAACTCTCCTCATATTTTATCTGCTCTACTATATGACCTAGTGAAAAACTACCTGGACTTTGTACGAGGGAGCAGGCAGGTTACAGGTTGTTTAACTTCCGATGCGACTGAAACAGTTGTGCCCTCACGTGCAGCTCTGCTGATCAGAGAAACAACTGAAACCCATTAAATTGGTTGGCACTCGACAAGAGCCGACAATGACATGACTAGATGCAGATTTTATACCAAAAAAGTAATTTTTCAGACAAAAACTGTAAAGTAATTAGTTACTAATTATAGTAAAATACTACAGCTGTAATTAATAATTACTCAAAGTAATTATTAGTAGCTAGAGCTGTTAAGGAGAACCTCAATTTCAGCTCCATATTTAAATTCTTGGACTCTGAATCATGCTAAGCTACTCTTGTAGAGTTCAAAATAATCCTTACTAATCTTATGCTCAGCTGTACTGCAGCCCCTAATTTTATCTGACCTTCAGCCCTTCTCTCTTTAACTTTATTTATATAACACATTAAAACTACTAAAACTAAATAAATTAAACATGTTCCTGAATATTGATGCTACACAACATTTACATAAAATTGCACAGCAGGAACCTATCCTCCAGAGATGAACTATTTCCAAAAGCCTGACAAAAAAAAAGAAAAAAAGAAGAGGTACATCTTCAGTTTAGATTTAACGACCGTCACAGGCGATGCTCGTCTGTTTGCAAAAACAGCCGAGGCAAACATCCCCCTTTTCAGAAAGCATCAATTAGAGGAATGATCAGGAGTGGCACACTTTAATGATATTGAGTGTATGGAGGCAGACTATCTACCACATATCCAGGTGCAAGACCATTTAAGGCTTTAAACACAAACAGTTCTCCTTTATATTGGATTCTGTAGCGCACACTACCTGTAAATAATCAACAAGTAATTGACCTACTAATGTATGCAGTGCATTACAAGAGTCGAGTATAGATGTAACTAAGTGTGCATGTGTAACTTTCTTATCATTGGTTATCCCTTTTAAACAGAAGCTTTAAACAATCAACCGGGTGTGTAAAATTAAATAGAAGTAGAGAAGCAGAGTGCTGCTTTAATGTTGTGCAAGTCAGCAACTCCTTCGTTTCAGACCTGGGAGAAATTTGAGTCCTTGCAACATCTCCCTCTCCTGGCTGAAATCCACCATCAAGTGACTCATGTTGTCACTGGCTTTAGCCTTCAGGGAGAGGCGAAAGGCTGGAGCCATTGTGACGCTGTGGAGAAAGACACACAAAAAACACACAAAGACGTGGGGTGGAAACAAGTGCGGGTCTATTATTGAACTGAACCAGAGGGCGACAAAGAAGAAACAGGTGATTCTAGTACTGCTCACTAAGAAAAGACCACTAACTACATTTCTGACATACTAGCGCTGAACTCATCACCCTAATTCAAAAAGCGGAGCTAGAGAGGGAGCAGCATTCATCCAGGGAGGGGCTGACACAGGATGGCACAGACTCGAGATGAGAGTGGGGAAACACAGAGACAAAAGAGTGGAAAGCTTCCATCGTGCTTACTGTCTATGAAATGGGTGCGGTGGCTACAGGTTTGAATGCATGCACGCTACATTCATTAGATGGCTCGCTGGTTACAGGAGGCTATGACAAAAGGAAAGCAATGGATTGCTGAGTACTATACCTATCCTTAATGTCTTTGGCCGCCTGGAGAGGAGAAGCACAGAGAGGGAAAGGAAAAAAAAGAGGAGAGACACGGAGCGAAGAGAGAACTGAGTAGGAGCCCATCATGTTGTCATTTAACACAAAAAGCTGCCGGTGGCCATGTTAAAATCACTGCTAGTATGACAGCACAAGGAGGACAGATTAAATCGTATGTGGACACTGAAATTCACATCAAACGGCGCAGCAGCATGACTGTCAGTTACCTGAGTAAAACCGTCCGTCTCAGAGGAGCAGAGCGTCTGATTGGCCATCTCCAGAAGCTCCTCTGAACTCTCCAGGGCTTTGGAGCAGGCGCTCAGCTGACTCTGAGAAAAGACCAACTTACAGTCAAATGGAGCGCATCTGCAAACTCCCACAGGTTATTCGTCTGTATAATAAGTTGATTGTGTTGCCAGCAGAAGCCATGGAGCTAGCTGCATCATTTGAGAGTCATCGCTCAGTCCTGAGGCTACAGACGTTTTTGAATTATTGGTATTTTGACCTGAGATGAATGAAAACAAAGATCAGCCTTCATTCATGCAGCTAGTTTGGAATAAATGTTGCAAAGAAAGAGAGTAAAAAAGCAAAAAATGCAAACTTGAGATGAGTCATTTTCACCTCCTCTCTGCAGCATTTCAGCAGGTACCTCTGGCTCCACAGCTGCAAGTTCCTGGCCTTACCTTGTTTATTGTTACACAATATGAACAAAAGTATCGGACCACGCCTCGTAATCTTTGAATTCAGGTGTATGAAAATCAAGCATGCAATCGGCCTTTACAGACTGCATGGCTCACTGAATTCGATGGTGCTGTAATAGGATGCCTCTGTTGAGCTCTCTTGTAAGAGGCTTGTTGCAACATGGAAGTGTTTAAGAACCATGCTAGCTCAGCCATGAATTATATTGATGACATAAAGTTACAGAGCGGGGTCGCCGAGTGCATAACACTCGCCGATGCTCTGCTGATTCAGTAACTGCAGAGTTCCAAACTTCCTCTGGCATTAACACCAGCACAAACACTGTGTGCCGGGAGCTTCACTGCATGGGTTTCCATGCTTGAACAGCTCCTGCAGGTGTAATGTGGAGATGGCTCAGTAGTTTTGAGGCATATAGCGTGTATTTCTCTTCTCTCTCTCTCTCTCTCTATGGTCTTCTTTCTTACTTCATTTTTTAAAGCACTTTAACAAGCTAAAGCAATGTAAAGGAAAAAAAGGAAAAAACAGTGTTGCTATGGTGGAAATCATTGAAAGCTGATTGGAGCAGAAGTCACCTGATTCTGTACACACCACTTAAAAACAATCACATACGGACACTTTCAGTCTCCTTGCATCTTTGGGGCGAAACCATTCATGTTCAGGAGGTTCATGGTTCGAGGAATAAATGACAGTTTGGACATTTTTTTTTCCAAACAAAGGGGAACAACAGCACCGTGCAGATGGTAGCAGTTTAAAGGAAGTGGCAATATTATTTTTCTTGCTCCATAGTCCCCTATAAATCTTTCTAAGCTTGGCAACGCACTTCAAAACATATTACTAGCTATTGTTACTGTCTTCCTAATGCCTCAGAGGCATTTCCAAACCAACAAATGACACAAAGTCAACACACTTTCAAGAGAAGTACAACCGAACATGTGAAGCATTTTAGAATTCAGCTTGAAGGATAAACGCTTCTCACCAATATTATAAATTACAGTGGCATTAAAAAACATAAATGTTAAGACAAACACGACAGAGACACGATGATGCTCCACTTAAACCTGTTATCTGTATTTTTGTGGTTTGTATTCTGTACAGTTACAGTATTTTTTAAGAGATCGTGTTAAAGTACGTTGCATTCTGCTTGCTGTTCACTTAGAAAAGTTTAGATTTTAGTCTGACTTAAAGGTCAGGAGGCTCCGGTTTTATCCTGTGAACCGCCTTACTCAATCAGTGATCAAGAGATGAGCATGGGATGTACAACAACAAAGAATGAAACAACGTCCCCACAAGCACTGATGCAACACCTGCTTTCGTATGCAGACAGGTAATAAGTCTAAGACATGTAATGATGCCCCCCCCCCCGATTAAAAAGATCTAGACTTTTCAAATCAAGAAACAATAACGGCTACCTGCAGCTCATAGGTACGGCTTGCTCGCTCCTGTTTGATACGGGTCAGCATATTTTCTTTCATTTCGTCCAGAACAGCATGGAGGGAGCTGCATTCAGACTCCAGGTCCTCCTGCACCCGGTTGGAATTTGCCTGGTGTCGCAGCAGAAAAAAAAAAGTTCAGGGTATCATTTGAGATCAAATTTAACTTGAGCCCTTTGCGTTACTGTACCTCCAAGTTGTCCAGACTCTGCTTGAGAGTGCAGATGAAGTTGGAAATCTCCTCATTCTTCATGGCCAGTGTGTGGGTGATCTTCCGCAGAGATTCCTGAAGAAAAAGACAAAATTTTCCTTTAGTCAATTCAGATTTTTCTTAACATTTCTGCTTTGAACTCACACACAATCTGACCCTTCCAGGCAGGCTCAGGATCCCTGTATTAGCGCACAGGAGAGCCTCCTCTGTGGATAAGATGTGTTAATCAGCCCTTGTCTGATGAGTGGACACATAAAGCTTTAGGCTTTGAGCTCCCTTTTAAACAGATGAGATCAGAGAGGGACCTACCCTCGGTGTACAGGGAGGGCGGAAGGATGCGCATTTATAATTTAATAATGCAGCTCCGCAATCGTTACGCAGGCGACTTCAAAGACCGGACACACAATATTACACAGAAAAACCCACACTTTTGATTTGCTGCCACTCCTGCTGCACTGCTCCGACGCCACAGTGAAAAAGCCCATTCATACAGAAGAACTGTGCAATGTTTGTTGATGGAAGAGGAGCTACGCCAAGGCCCCCTTCCCCACGTCCCCGACTGCTACACCGATACTTGTCGATAAGAAAGCGGTCGATAGCGAGCACAGCAACGACCCCACATCCACCCGAACAAACACCGAGTACAAAAACAAGACGACTGAGAAATTCAAGCCCGTGCTGCATCCACAAACTCCCTCATATTGCCGCGTCTCCCCCTCCTTCCTTTGTACACTACGCCCTGAAACGGCTTCCCCCATCAGAGACACCTGTTCCCCCGGCTCCGGCTCACCTTCTGGTCTCCCATCTTGCAGTCAGGTGCACCGGCGCGGTCGCAGCTCCACACACCGCCGGTATGTCTCCTCCGTCCCCCGGTGTTTGGTGTATTAGCACGGCGGAGCTGGTACTGATGCTGCCGGAGAGCAACGCATCTTCGGACGGACACCAACCACCAACGCCTTTGGGCCGTAGTAAGCGGGGCGCATGCGGCACGGGGGGATTCTGGGTAGTGATGTTCTGGTGGCGCGGGTGAGGGATGCTGCTTTCAGGTGCAGTCAGAGAAAGGACAACGCGATAGATAGATAGATAGATAGATAGATAGATAGATAGATAGATAGATAGATAGATAGATAGATAGATAGATAGATAGATAGATAGATAGATAG